CCTAAAGCTACAAAACCGCGCCTAGCCCTAGTTTGAGCCCTAACTCGAATTCTCCACTTCCAGTCGAGGTAATGCAACAACCCGCTATTTTAGGGCCAATATTTTCGCAATTTCTTTTTCGAAAATACTTATACGATTTCGAAATTCTTTGCAAACTGTTCGGGTTGCCGCTAAAACCTTACTTGTTAAAAGTTTGTTTCCCTTTTTAATCTAAGTCTAATGACTGGTTTAGACTTTTTAGAAAAATCAGATTTTAAATCTTTTGTCATAACCTGCAAGTTTAGATGGACCTGTTCGATGCTGGCGAATCGGGTAAAACGTTAAGTTTTGAAAAATATCATCATGCAAGTTCGAACCAAAAGTAACGTAGCGGAAATCATAAAATGCGTAGAAATAATTTAATTATACAGACGTAGATAATCAAATGTCCACAAATCGCTAGCTGTGCCGAAGCCACGACCACAACCACCACTGCTGGACTCACGCCTGCCCGCCGACCCTGTCATCTGAAAAACAAAGTGGGGGTGAGTACTGGTCCCTTTGTACTCCATAAACACCCATACTAAAGTAAACAACAATATTAATAACGATATCACAACACAGGTATATATAGGTACTCCCGGACAAGTGGGTCGGTAACTGAACTGAACTTTCCGGACACTCTGAGCCGGACCGTGTGCACACTCCGATGGGCAATTAAGGCAAACTGGGCCTCCACCGGAACCTAGGGGAGGACTTCTGGGCCTCAACCCTAAGCGGATAAATTGGGCTTCGGATGGCAATTAAGGCATACTGGGCCTCCACCCTAAGCAAATAAACTGGGCCTCGGATGGGCAATTAAGGCATATTGGCCTCCACCCTTGGTAACTCAAATACATACCTTGGACATGATATCAGCTATTAAACTCAATGTAATACCCAGGCTGGGTCCCCACCTGATCTGTTTGAAAATGTGTAAGTGCTGCGGTGCTGGTAGACGACTCGTCAAGCTACATAAAAATATAAGCAAACAAAAATATACTAAGTACTATGCTCGTCATATGCTCAATAATATGCTAAGATGCTCATTTTTATCTGATAGCTTATCCGGTTATTTAGGAACGTGCTAGGGTTCACAAAAATAATACTAAGTCCGGAACTTAGACTGACATGCTTAACTGATCTGGTTTGGCTCGAAAAAATACTTAGATTTCGGAATAAAACTCGGACCAAAATAATCGAACCAAAACTGACTCGAACCACCGGCTAAACCGGCTGGTTCGCTGACTGGCTGGACCGCCAGCTCGCTGCGGTCGGGCGGTCGGGTGCTCACTCAGACTGACCGGCATCGGTCCCGTGCCGGGCCTGCTGGGGCCCTGGAACGGTGCTGGGCATGAGCTGGGTGCGACCGGGCCTCGGTACTAGGCGCTGCTGGGCGGGCCCTGGCACGACTGGGGACACTAGGAGCTACAGGGCACGGTCCAGGTGCTGCTGAGTGCGGCCAGGGACTGCTGGCACGGGCACAGGCACTGCTGGTGCCTCTCGGGCGCGACTGGGCGATATCGAGGCCAGCTAAGGCGCTGGCGTGCTCCTAGGCACGACTGGGCTCGGGTCTGGCACGGCTATGTGCGGACAGACCGTTACTCGCGCAAACTGGGCGCAGCTGAGGCTGTCAGGGCACTGTCGGGCTACCTTTGACACGCGGGCGTGCTGCTGGACACGTCCCGGGCGAACTGCGTGCTCGGGCGTGCTGCTGGGCACGACCCGAGGCCTCTGAACACGGCTCGGGTTCAGTGAGGCACGGTACTGGACACTCGGCATGCAGCTGGCACGACCCGAGGTCGACCTCGCGTGTCACGAGCGGCTGGCTTGAGGTCATGCATGGACTGGCACTTGGACAGGGCTGTGGGGCGCTGTCAAAGGTCACTGGGCGTGGCTGGCGCCGAGACCTTGCTCTCGGGCACAGACAGGCGCTGCTGGGCGCTGTCGTGCGTACTGGGGGCTGCTGGACCTCGCGCGCGCTGGGCGCATGATGAAGATCGTGTGTTCCAATTGTCGACAAGCCGCTCCCGCGCCTTAAATCGCACGATAGGTGTCTCGCGAGCCACGTGAGCGCCTCTTGAAACGAATAAAATTGCAGAAGAAATCTAATGCAAAGTGTTTGAACAAAAGTTCGGGTTTTGTATTAATATTCAATGATGAATAATTCGAATGAGTACATAGGGTATTGATAAGAAAAACTAGATCAAGTCCTATACCAACTATAATTCTAATCTATGGAAAATATATCTAATCCTAAGGTAACTAAATGTCTTGCATATCAAGACTTACCAAAATAAATAAAACTCCTAACCAAACTAATTTAGCCCACGTGAGTATTATTCCTCACGGCTAATATAATCCTAACCTATCTAACATTACTAACCTAAACTAAATAATCTCTTAACAAACTAACGTGCCACTACACGGCAATAATAATAACTAACACTATCAAATACTAACACCTAACAACTAACTTACGGCTAAATATATATATAAACCTATGCTAACAATCTAACATGCATGAATATACTAATAATATTTAACCTAACATTAACGACACTAATTTAACAATTAAATAATAATTACATAATTAATCTAATAAAATATCTTCTAGAATCTTCGCCCCTCGGCTCGCACGGCTCGCCTCGTGTGATCGTGCATCACGTCCGCGTACGCCTCCACGTGCTTCCTCGCGCGACCCTTTGCTAACTCCCGGGCTCGACTGGACTACTCTTGCTAAGCCCAGGCCCATACGTGCTGTCAAGTCCAATCCCGTGCGTCTGCGACCCCTCGTGCCGCATACTCGTCCTTGCAGGCTCGACCCTGGCGGCTTCCCGTGTCTCGACCATGCATGTCTACGCCAATGTGCATGCTCGCGCCCTTGCCGTCGGTTCATCTCGCGCACCCGCTCGTGTTGATGGATGCGCATCTTCATGTGTACCCTCGCGCGCCTTGCTACGCGGCTCACGCGTATCGCGTGTCTATGCATTGCGCATTTTCCTCGCGTCGGCCCATCACGAACCTCCTTGGCACAGCCCTGGTGGTTCGACTCGTGCCGTTCTTTTTGTGCTCGTGTGCCTCGTATACGGGCTCGTACCCGTCTCTTAGGCCATGCATACGTGAATTTGGCCCTTTCCTCGGCCTTCTCGGTCGTCTCGGCCATCGGCTCTCGGCGTCCTCGGGCCTCGAAACCCACATTCGCATCATTCCCGCCCCCTTAAAGTTTGTCCTTGTCCTCAAGGACTCATCAAGTATCTCCATTCGGGGTTCGTCGTCCTCCTCGATCACATCCACCTCTTCTTCCATTTTCTCGACTCCATCGATCCCGGCTATCTTGGCCACGTCCGAAACCTCCTCGAGCCTTGGAGCTTCGACCACCTCGACTTCTTTAACCTCGACCTCGACGAAGTATTCATCGGGGTATACATCGTAGATAGGCGGTCCATCAAAACCCGTCGCGACTTGTTCGTCTGTAACTCCTAGGTGGCCCGAAAAATCAAACGGAAAGTCGAGCTCCTCACACCATTCCTCAATCACTTGACCCTCTCCGACTACTTTCCCAAGCATCGATGTCTCGAGCGTGTTGGATTTTATCGGATCGTGCTCGTACGATTCACAGGACTCCTCTTCGGCCTCTTTCCACAACTCCTCGACCACCATGTGCTTGTCATCATCGAGGTACACGTCGTAAACAGGCGGGCCTAAGTAGTCGATCGTAACTCCCTCGTCCATGAACACGTCGTCAAATGAAGGTAGGTCCTTGGACTCGATTCGCTCGACTATGAACTCGGTGACCTCGTCAAAAAGCCCTAAAAATTCAAACGGGCATGTGAACTCCTCGTAGTCGGTTAGTCCTCGCTCGGTCGTGCACTCGTCATCTTTCTACGAATGGATGTGTTTGTCTTTGGCCGCCTCTTCGTTGTCAAAGTATCCCGGAAATTCAAACGAGAAAGTAGGCTCTTCGTTGAAATATCCCGAAAACTCCATCGGAAAAACAGGCTCCCCTTGCTCAATCTCAGCTTGTTCGAGCTCTCCTTTGGCCCGATCGTACCCGTAAGGTAATGGTCGAGCTTCACGCGGGTGTGGTCGATCATCGTGTGGTGGCGGTCGAGCATTGTTCGGGGTTGGTCGATGCGCAACCCTTAAGCACTCGACGAGCCGGCGGCCCTTGAATTCCTTCTCTTGTTCGTACTCGACGTGGCACTGCTCGTGCTCCTCAGGTCGTTCGCGCCCGTGCGGCCGCGCCTGCTGGTGTTGAAAGTTGCGCGCCATCTCGTCGAACCTCCGGTTCATGATCTCTATTAAATCCCGCACCGATGCGTTGATGGTGTCGAACCCTTCGCCTAGGTTGTCCATGGCCTCGCTCATGCTTCGGAATTGCACGTCCAAGCTCTCGAGTTTGTCCTTCATCTTTGTGTTGGCCATTTCTTTCCTTTCTTTCCTTCGCTCTTTACTTCGTGGACTCATTTTGAAGAGATTTTTTTTTTTTTNGTGTGCTCAAATGAGAAAGAAGCACAATGAAAGAAATGAGAATGAATATAGACCATTTGATACATCATATCAATAATCATGATTAAGTCAAAATTTAATAAATAATGGTCAATCATTAATGGCAATATGGTAAATAAATATACACATGCTGGTCAAATGATACATATGACTATTAAGTAGGGATAAACTAGTCATTACATATTCCAACTCAATCACCACCTGCGGGCCCCACCCCATCCCACCCCTACCCGCCCCTACCCTCTCCTTTCCTCACACAACACAAACAGACGATACACACACTCAGCCACACATAGTTACACACACGGCAGCTAGCCACTATCTTCGCCGGCGCCGCCGTCCGGACACTAGACCCGACGCCGATATGTGCCTTGCCGGTCCAATTGATGCCGGTCGCCGGAGAGTCAGTCCGCCGCAGCCGTTCCAGTTGATGCCAACGTCGCCGGAGTGACAGCCTCGCCGCAGCCGTTTCAACATATCTGCCGGTGGACCGCCGACGCCCATTTTCCGTCGTCTCTGCCGCGAAGTCCGCAATCCGCCGCCGGCAACGCCGCCGCCATCAGCCTGTACACACGCACACACACAGTTCTCGCACAAATTTCCGGTCGCACTCAGCCACCAGACCGACTCCCGACGCTCGCCGTCCGTCGCCCGCTACCACAGCCTTCATCATCCGCCGCCGTGTCTTCTCTCCGTCCGCCTTCTTTCATCAGCTCACTCCCATCGTATGTCTTCTCTCCCAAGCGCCGGGCTGCACTGCATCAGAGATGGGATTTTTGGATTCTAACATAGATGGGATTTTGGGATTATAAACACAGATTGGATTTTGGGATTAGGGTTGTTTTTATGAAAGTTTGACAATTATAAGGGGCTTGCTTGCAATTTTATTAATTTTTATATGTTACAATTTAGTATGTGAGATAAATGTGTAATTTAAAAAACGTTTGATACATACAAAATATGATTACATAAAACGCACAATATGAATACATAGAATGCACATTATCGTACGCGAAAATGCACATTAAAAAGAATTGGTATAATTTTACGAAAATTATATAAATGTTCAACAATCGTTTATAAATTTATCAAATATATATATATTTATATAATTTACATTAAAAAGATATTAAAAAATAATATAAAATATATAAAATAATAATATTTATTATATAGTCCGGTTGGTTCACTTGTTTGAGTTATTTAAAAAAAATAATGACATTGAACTGAAATAATCGAGTTTTTTAAATTAAAAAACAAAAAAAGTTAATAATTTTTGAAATATAAAGTTACGAAATAGAAATTTTAGTTTGGTCCGTTTCGTTCGATATTGTGCAATCTGATAGTCATTATGTGCATTCGTTTAATACTATTGTGCATTCACAAAGTATACGTTTTCAATGATCTTTTTTTTTTCAATCCAAAATTAAAATCAAACGAAATAATCGGTTTATTCGACTGGTTAATTAAATTACACAAAAATAATTGAAATAATTTATTTTTTATATTATAAAAATATATTTAGCATTTTAATATTTATATTTAATATTTATTATATTTTCTTATTTTATAGAATATAATAACATAATATCAAAATCAGTAATGTGCATACGCACACACGATAATGTGCAGTTCGTATAATATTATGATGCAATCTATTGATCGATTATTTTTTATGTGCATTGTAATTTACAACCTTTAATAATATGTTTTCAATTAATATGTTTTCTTTTCATTTGTCAAATTATTTGTATAATAAAAATATATTTAATAATTTTATTTTTCGATTTAATATTTTATATTATTGTTTGTTGAAAATAAATAACAATATTTGTTTTTGGTCATCCGAGTGAAATACGCTTTAATGTCAATGTACATTCGTGAATGCATTAATGTGCATATGAGGTAACAATATAGTGCAATCTGACAGTCACTCATGTGCATAATGTTTAATACTATTGTGCATTTGATTTGGGTTTTTTTATTTGCAAATTCAAACTAAAATAATTGAGTTATTGGGTTGGTTAATTGAATTAACCTAAATAATTGAATATTTTTATTATTTACATTATAAAAAATATATCTAGTATTTTAATATTTTTTATTTAATAACCTTTATTTTATTTTTTTTGTTGAAAATACATTATATATAAATGTATAAAAGAATAATAATTCACATCTCTCTAGGAGAAGGAAATCCTAAATGACAATTAATAATAATAATTAAAGGACATATAATAATAATAATAATAATAATAATAATAATAATAATAATAATAATAATAATAATTCCACATAAGATATCAAATCAATAACCACATAATAACTGTAAATGAGAACGTTCTTATTCCATTATTATAATTTTCAGTTCAAGCCTCAAGTAAAATTAAAAATCTTCCATGATAGACCTTTATGCAAGTTAAACCATCTTAGATAATGAATCCACATCTCAAAGCACGCCCTACATCAGATGAAAGCAACACTTCTTTATATTTTTATAAATTAAAGATTATCCTATGGGCTAAATTGAAAAAACAAAAATTCTTAAAATTATAATCAAACCCCTAAAAAATATCTAATTCTCAATAAGAAGCCCTAATCCCAATTTTGTGTTCCCTGCCAAGTCTATCGAGATTCGGGACTGTTCGAGGGCAAGTGGTGGCGCCGCCACGGTCGGACAACCTTTGGGATCCCGGCATCGGTCAATTGTCGTATTTTGGTCGTTGTGGATGTGTGTGTTTGTGTTGCGTCCGGCGGCATGCGGTGGATGCTCGGACGAGGCGTAAGGCAGCCTTGCCAGAATTCCGGCTTTCAGGCATGCTGCCGACGGAGATTGTCGACCGCTGTTCGGACGTGAGTTCTCCTGTCGAAGCTCCAGCTTTTTCAGAAACTCGGCATCGGCGAGCGGCTCCGGCGGTCGCAGGCTTGCAGCGACTTTGTTTCGGGTGGTCAAAAGTGAGAGTGGGTGTGTGTATGTGTGCCGTAGATCTGTGTGTGTGTGTGTGTGACAGAGAAAAAAGGGAGCGTGGTCTGTGTGTGTGTGGATACTGGAGAGGGAGAGAGGTGAGGAGAGAGAGAGGTAGGGTGAGAGATACGAGGTGATTGAGAGATTGAGGGAGACTTGTTACTGCAGTGGGACCCACGTGTGATTGATGTGGATGGAGTGGGTTGTGTGGAGAAATTCCTTTATTGTCCTTATTGAATGTATACAGGCTGAGTTTTTTTATCCACCGGATGATTTAATTGGATGGTCAAGATGTATTCTTATTTCTTTCATTGAGAACCATTCTCACCGGAGCGCATTCCTATATATATATATATATAACTTTCTTTTTTTTTTTTTATATAAACGTAAATAAAATAAATAAAAAAAGAATGGGGAAAGAAAAAAAAAACACACGATCTAACACCTCTCAATGAAAGCACCAATAATGAAGATCGTGTGTTCTGATTGTCGACAAGCCGCTCCCGCTTAAATCGCACGATAGGTGTCTCGCGAGCCACGTGAGCGCCTCTTGAAAAGAATAAAATTGCAGAAGAAATCTAATGCAAAGTGTTTGAACAAAAGTTCGGGTTTTGTATTAATATTCAATGATGAATAATTCGAATGAGTACATAGGGTATTTATAAGAAAAACTAGATCTAGTCCTATACCAACTATTATTCTGATCAATGGAAAATATATATAATCCTAAGGTAACTAAATGTCTTGCATATCAAGACTTACCAAAATAAATAAAACTCCTAGCCAAACTAATTTAGCCCACGTGAGTATTATTCCTCACGGCTAATATAATCCTAACCTATCTAACATTACTAACCTAAACTAAATAATCTCTTAACAAACTAACGTGCCACTACACGGCAATAATAATAACTAACACTATCAAATACTAACACCTAACAACTAACTTACGGCTAAATATATATATAAACCTATGCTAACAATCTAACATGCATGAATATACTAATAATATTTAACCTAACATTAACGACACTAATTTAACAATTAAATAATAATTACATAATTAATCTAATAAAATGTCTTCTAGAATCTTCGCTGCTCGGCTCGCACGGCTCGCCTCGTGTGATCGTGCATCACGTCCGCGTACGCCTCCACGTGCTTCCTCGCGCGACCCTTTGCTAACTCCCGGGCTCGACTGGACTACTCTTGCTAAGCCCAGGCCCATACATGCTGTCAAGTCCAATCCCGTGCGTCTACACTTTGTCCGTCCTCGAGAAGCTCGTCTCGAGCGCGTGTCCTCGTCCCTCTTGCCTTGGTCGACCTTCGCGTGGCGCTCGACCCTCTCGAGCTTGACGTTGCGGGCTCGCCATTGCCCTGCTGCACTTTGTGTCGACTACCTCGCGCGGCCTCGCACTCGACCTTGTGAGCGCCGACCTGCTTGCGTCTCGATCTACTCGACACTGTGAGTCTAGCCTCGATTCCTCTGACTTCGACCATGCGCGTCCTCGACTCGACGAGCATCGTCCATCTGTTCGTCCTGCTACCCGGTCGACCTAGCGAGTGTCGACTATGTGATAGACCCGTTCGAGCTCGCGAGTGTCGACCATCCGAGAGTCGACCACCCGACCTTCCTGTTTGGCCCGTTTGGCTGCGACCCCTCATGCCGCATACTCGTCCTTGCAGGCTCGACCCTGGCGGCTTCCTGTGTCTCGACCATGCATGTCTACGCTAATGTGCATGCTCGCGCCCTTGCTGTCGGTTCATCTCGCGCACCCGCTCGTGTTGATGGATGCGCATCTTCACGTGTACCCTCGCGCGCCTTGCTACGCGGCTCACGCGTATCGCGTGTCTACGCATTGTGCATTTTCCTCGCGTGCGCCCATCACGAACCTCCTTTGCACAGCCCTGATGGTTCGACTCGTGTCGTTCCTTTTGTGCTCGTGCGCCTCGTATATGGGCTCGTACCCGTCTCTTAGGCCATGCATACGTGAATTTGGCCCTTTCCTCGGCCTTCTCGGGTCGTCTCGGCCATCGGCTCTCGGCATCCTCGGGCCTCGAAACCCACATTCGCATCAGCGCGGGCACGGGCAGAGGCGCGGCCTGGCCTCTGCGACACGGCGCGCTATGTGCGCGGCCAGCGGCCATAGCCGGTCCTTGCCGGACCTCCGGCTACTTTTTCTGGTGAACATGGACTCAACCCAACATATAATGATATGAGACACATAAAAATGCCAAGAATCACTATAAGACCTCGGTTGGAGTTTGACGTGGTCTGATAGGGCCGATATGGCTCGTACGGACCCTAGGTCACTTAACCAACATACTCAACTTCTAAAAACTCTTAGGGCCGAATAATATACATCAGAAATCATGACTTTAAGGGCTGGGACAATGGCTGTAACTCGCATGTACATAGGCTTGGGTTCGGAGGTGAAAATAACTCGATTTCACTAACAACTTGACCGAACCATTGAACTCAAAACATGCCTATCTCTTACCAATGTCATACACATGATTTTTGAGGGATAATGAGCTATGAAAAACGGCCTACTCATGCTTGTACTTAAAAATCCGAATTTAAGGGCTTATCTTTCAAATATTCGAAACTCATCCTTAAGCATGTTCATGAATTCATTTTCCTACGTGATAATTCCTATTTTATCATGTTAAAGCTGAGAAAAATGAAAAACATGAGTTTACCTTTCACCCAACTCGAAATGGTGCTAAGTGGCTTTGCTCGGTGCTATCTCGCGGCTCTAGGACTTAGGTTCGACTTGGAGGATGAATGGTCGAGATGGTTGAGCTCTTAAGACTTAGAAAAAACCAATAAACTCTTGGAAAGTGCTAAGTCTCAAGAGGACTCGGATTGAACAAGTGGAACTCGCTCCTCTCCTTACTCAGGACTCCACGCGCGCGGAAATGGCCTAGGAGCAAATTCTAAGTGTCCAAGAGCTTATCGGCAATTCAAGGCACGAGATTGTGGCTTATCAGCAATTGGGGCACACGATCTTCATCATTGGGACTCGACGCGCGCGGAAATGGCCTAGGAACAAACTCTCGGTTTTTCTCTCCTTTCCTCTCAATATCCCTGAGTTCTCTAAGTGTCCAAGAGCTAGAAAAATGCTGGGGTAGAGAGGTTTTAAACGTGGTCATGAGATGAAGAGACCAAGACTCCAAAAGTGGGGGACAAGCACCCGCTCGCGCGGCACTAGGAGGGGGACAACTTTGGAGTGGTCTTGAGACTTGATGCACGAATTAAGGAGGTCTTGTAGCTGACTATGGGCTGTCCAAAGCGGTCAAAAAGAGTGGGGAACATGCTGGTCTTGGTTGCCTTGACCGAGGTCCAAAAATGGGGGACATGTCCACCCACACGCGCGCCTAGGTGGGGGACAAGCCTTGAGTGGTCTTGGAACGATTTTGGACATGCTTCCACGTTTTAGGGGACCTTGTTGCTAACCTTGAGCTGCCCAAGACGTCCAAATGGTGGAGGGAACAAGGCTGGTCTTGTGGAGGTGAGTGGAAGGGGACCAAGAGACCACTTTTCCTTAAATTAGGGAACCACTCACAAAGTTCAACGCTAGTGTCCCCTTGACTTGTCTTGAACGGTTTGGAGGCCTTGAATGCTGAATTTGGGCTGACCAAGACATCCAAATGGTGGAGGAGACATGTCTGGTCGGCTAGGAGGGTGAGTGGAGGGAACAAGACATCACTTTTTTCCTTAAAATAAGGCTCCACTCACAATGCTCCATGCTAATATCTTGTTTACTTTCTTGTCCACTCTTGACCACGACTTGGACTGACTTTGACCCTTCTTAAACTCCATAATACTCACATGATCTTGGGCTATAAGACTTGGGCCGCAAAATTCTTGTTTTGGGCTTGAAAACCATACGCGCGTGGGCTTGGCGCGACCTAGCGCGCGGTACTGCGAGGCGCGCGGTCTTTGGGCTAAAAATGCCACTTACGTGCTGAGGTTCCCACCACTTCATGACCCATTTAATTGCTGGTCTTAGTGCATCAAACACTTAGAAAAATATCCATGGTAACTAAGCCATGACTTGGGCTTAAGCACGACCACGCGCAATGACTTAGGCGTGGATTACTAGGGCTCGGTGCACATGGTTCCTTAGGCCGGTTATGCACATCCTTGGCTCACTTAGGAGCTCTAAAATACTTAGAAATACTTCCATAGGTGCTCGGATAAAACTTCGGCACGGCTATAGCTCGGCAATCGGCTAGGTGCGAACACTTGGGCGCGAGTGAACTTGAACCCATGCACGAGCTTGGTGCGGGGTTCCTCTTGGCCGAGGGATTATTTCTAAGGCTTATCCTTGATGAACCAACACTTAGAAAATTCTAAGGGTTCACTACTAAGGTCCGACACTACTAGGGCTCGGAGATGACGAGGCACGACTAGGCGCTCACATGATCGGACTCGCGGCACTACTATGGCTGAGGGAACTTGGAAAAACTCTTGCACTTAGAATAATTCTAAGGCATGGCTACAATCACAACTAGGGCTTGAACAAGATTCGGCACTACTGGGCTCGAGACTTGACTATGCGCGAGACTCGCGACCGAACATACTGGGTTCCGGACACGACTTGACTTCGACGATTTATCGAAACATACTTGGTTTCGATATTTGTCAACTGAAAATAATTAATTCCAACTGAATAAAATCCATCGCTGAAATAAATGGACCGGAATTAATAACTGAGATTGAATAGCTGAATAACTGAGCTCGAATGTCAGGACGAACAATATTAATAAAAGGAAATAGTTCAAACTGGGAACTAAACTGTCACTTTTATTAATAAAGGAACTGGGCTATTACAATCTACCTCCCTTATATTTCCGTCCCCGGAAATACAAGGGCTGAAAATACATATAAAGTGGATACAAATCAGAACTCAAAATCTGGAAAACGAGCTCTAATATCGGCTTTGCGTTCCCAAGTGGCGTCTGACTCTTCGTGGCGATTCCAT